TTCAAGAGGAAAAACTTCGTCCAGTCCACCTTTGACTGGCTGTTGGGAGGGTACCTGAGTTTGTTGGCACCTTCTCCCTTCAAACTTTTTAACAGACAGGGACGGTGGTGAGAAAAAGTATCGAAACTGTGTTTTCCGTGATAAGCTCCCATCCCACTGGAACCTGAAATAAAGGGGACAGTCACTGTGAGTGACACAGGCTCTCTCCACCCACACGTGACCCAGAGAGCCTCATGCGTTCACCCCTGCTGCCTGCACAGGTGTGGCTTCAGGAAACGCGCCCAGGGTCCCAGGCACGGCCACTCTCCCTGCCAAATAGGGTGTCCCTGAGAGCGGGGCAAGAACATGCAGCTCTCTGAGGGCTGCAGACCGTTCCGCCACGGCCCGTGCTGAGTTTAATGCCTCCGCCCGGTTAATCCTCTCCTCAGCCCCGCTGCACAAAGGACCGTGAGCCCGGTTTCCAGAGAGCAGGGCGCCTGAGGTCACATGGCTGGGAAGCAGCAAGGTCCGAATGCGGACTCTAAGTGCCCCGTCTCTTCCCGCCATCCCACGTGGCCTTCCTAACCCGCAGGCCCTCACCCACGCGCTTCCTGTATGCCCCTAGAAAGCAGCAAAGGTCAGGGTGCAGAGCTATGCAGCTGGGTGATGAGCCGCAGTGTGACGCTCCACCTTCTCTTCTGTTTGCTTGTTTTCAGAAGGAGAGACTTTTGCTATAGGGCGTGTGTGCTCGCCAGTGAGAGAGAGACAGAGACAGAGAGACAGAAAGTAAGAAATCAACCCCCGGGGGGCCACAGCCGCGCTGAGCAGCCCTGACATTGGGGGAGGGCAGTGGAAGAGGGGCCAAAGACATGAGCAAGGTAGGACGTTGCTGAGAAAGGATTGCAGAAGGCATTGCATGGCACCCCCTGGGGAGTGATCTCTCACTTTCCCTCTCACACTCACTCTCTCTCTGCCTCTCTCCCGCAAGCACATGCACCCTATAGCAAAAAAAAAAAAAAAAAAAAAAAAGCTGAAGGAAGAAAAACTGGGTAAAGAAATACTTAAAATCATAAGATGAAAATGAAGGTAAAGAATTAATATAAAGGAAACTATGACGCTTTATTGAAGGAGGTAAAGGAGTTATATAAGTGAGATAAGTGAGATGTAACATGTTCCCATTAAGGTTTCTTTTTTTTTTTTTTGGCTATAGGACGCATGCGTGCACCAGAAAGACACAGAGAGACAGAAAGGGAGAAATCACCCCCCAGGGGGCATGGCCACACAGCAATCTCTTCTCCTCCATTCTCCTCTTGGGATCTTGGGCACGCACGCACATGTGCTGGGCGTGAGTTTAAGCCACCGGGTCCAGGACTTGAACCGTGGTGGACTACATGGGAGTCCAGTGACATAGCCATTACGCCAACTGCTGGTCCCAAGACTTCACATTTTAAAAATATAAATTTTTCCCCAAATGGGCCAAGTGACAGCCCAGTGGTGCTGCAAGTGGACCCACATGGAAAGGTCCCAGGTCCCCGTCCTGATACCTCCCTGAGGACACCAGGCATGGACAGGTGTGCCTGGATCCTTGCCGGCTGGCGTGGGAACGATGGTGGCTTGCGAATTCTAACAGGGTACCCCTGTTTCTCTCTCACAGAAGAAATAAAGAGACTTAAAAAAAAAGAAAAAAAAACCTCTTCCCTAAATAATTTATTATAGTTTACAGCAATTTTAATAAAAATCCCAGGAAGATTTCAGAGGGATTTTTCTTTCTTTCTTTGAGTAGAAGGTGGCGAGTGATTCTAAAATTCACCATGAAGGAAAAACTTCAGCTGTCAGTACAGCCAAGAAAACAATGAAAAAATCAAAATGAGGAATAGCATTTCTGAAATAGTACTATGTGCTGAAGAGTGAACTCGTGGGCTGGTTGAAGACATGGGTTTTAGAGACAGGCGCCCTGGGCTTCGTTCCTGGCTCTCCGACTTCCTAGCTGCCAGTTTCTGAGCGCGTGGGCCCAACAACAGCACTTGGCAAACGCGCACGCGCTGGCTCCGGCTGGCTTAGGCTACTACACCTGAGACTGGCACGAGCCCAGGAAAACCGCCCACAAAAGCAATGAAACTGGAGAGAGAGCCAAGGATGCGTTCACAGTATAGATAGATGGTACCAGGCGGTTTAATCAAAAAAAAGGGTGCCGGCATTCAATGGTTCAGTGTAGAGGGAAAAAAGGATTCTTATATTATGCACCATTCTAAAACCAACTCCAGAGTTTGACGTAAAAAAGAAATCAGAAAATGTAAAGAAATTACAGATGAGTATTTTATCTAATGCTGAAGTAGAGAAGACTTTTTAAAGCCTACTTCCTAACAGCAGTTGGCGTAATGGCTATGTCTCTGGACTCCCACGTAGTCAAGTCCCAGACCTGGTGGCTTAAACTCACGCCAGGCCTATGTGCATGTGTGTCTAAGATCCTGAGAGGGGAATGGGGGAGAAGGGATTGTGGAGTGGCCATCCTCCCTAGGGGGTGATTTCTCACTTCCTGTCTCTCTGTCTTTCTGGCAAGCATACGAGCTCTATAGCAAAAAAAAAAAAAAGCCTACTTCCCAACCACAAACCCATAAAGCAAAAGATCTCAGAGGCCTGACTATACAAAACTTTGAAATCATAGATAAAATTAAAAGATAAATTACAATCTAGAAAGAAATATTTATTAGAGGTATGACCAAGGATTCATTTTCTTACTTAGAAAAAAGGCCACTTACATATTGATAAAGGAGAGGTGGATGTGGCAAAAATATCAAAGGATGTAAGTAGGAAATTTATGAGATAACTGACCACTAATAATCACAGAAATGCTAATCAAAATGAGATCTTTTCTCCTCTAGTAATGGAATAAACAGAATTAGGGGTATTAGAAAGTGAACCTCGGGAACCAGCAGTTAGCGTCATGGCTATGTCGCTGGATTCCCACGTAGTCGACCGCGGTTCACGTCCTGGACCCGGTGGCTTAAAACTCATGCCGGGCGTGGGTGCGTGCGTGCCCAGGATCCCGTGAGGAGAATGGAGAAGGGACTGCGGCGTGACCATCCCCCCCGGGGGGTGATTTCTCACTGTTTCTATGTCTCTTTCTCTAAGTCTGGTGAGCGCACGCGCCCTATGGCAAAAAGTCTCTCAAAAAAAGAAAGTGAACCTCATATGCTGTTCATGAGAATGTGGAGTGGCAGGCCTCTACAAGGATATTCAGCAACATGCATCAAAAGCCTTCAAGCTATGCCCTTCTCCAGCAGGTGGTGTGGTGGAGCAGGTGTCTGGATCCCACACGGCCAACTGCATGGTTCAAAAAATACATCGGCTGCCTGCACATGCGTGCCCCAAATCCCGGGAGAATGGAGGAAAAGGGATTGTGGCTTGAGGGGTTGGGGATTCTTTCTTACTTTCTCTCTTTCTCACTCACTCTCTGGTGAGCGCATAACCCCTATAGCAAAAAAAGAACAAAGATACACCCTTCCAAGAAAAACCTAAACTATGTAACAAAATAGTAAGTGTTAATGCCTGAAAGATTGTTACATTTTTCCTTTTAACTGTCTGTAGAGTTTTATTTGCTTAATCATTCCAATTTTTTCCGAGTATATATTACTTTCAGAATTAGAAGAGAAAAGCATTTTCATCTTTAGAAAAAAAAGCATAAGCTTTTCTAACAGTAATCACACTTCTAGACATTTTTCCTAAAGAAGTCATCAGAAGTCACACAAAGATGCTGTCTTAGCCTGCTAGTGAGCTGCTAACAGACAAGCGAGGCTGGATAGTTTACAAAGTGGAGGCCCATGTGACTGTGATTCCGGTGGCTGGAAGTCCAAAGGTGTGGGGCTGACAAGGCCAGCTGACCACACAGCCAGTGGTCACTGGCAGGCGCATGAAGAGTGACAGATACCGACTCTCTCTGTAACACTCCACTCTCAACCCCTTCTCACCCCCAAGCCTCACACTGGACAGCACTAATCCATTTAGGAGGGCAGCGCCTGTATGATCCAATCACCACTCGGTCCAAATTCCAAAACATGACCCCTATGACCCCCATTACCCAAACTCCAACAAACATGTTATACAAATGTAACAAATTCTGTGCCAGCAGGTGACATGGCAGTTAAGGTGCTGGATCCCACACGGCCGACTCTGTAGTTCGAGTCCTGGACCCGGCAGCTTGAAAAACATGCTGGGCACATGTGCCCAAAATCCTGAGAGGAGTATGGAGAAGAGACTACTGTGTGGCCATGCACCCTAGAGGGTGACTTTTCACTTCCCCGCTCTGTCTGTCTCTGGTGAGTACATGCGCCCTATGGCAAAATCCTAAATAAAAAAGTTTGTAAAATAACAATTACTACAACACAAATCCTACCCTCTCTTCCATCCACCCACTCACCCCACAGTCACTTGAATAGCAAATCCTATTGCTTAGCCCCAGGAATATCCATCCACTCCCTTTCCTCCATCTCTCCATCCTGGATCTGGTCTGCCCTCTCGCCTGCCCTGCACCCGCATGCCAGGCACCGTGCAGCTCAGCAGCCACAGCCTGGCAGGGGCCTGCGGCAATCATGGCCACCAGACCCAGCCTGCTGGCGCCCCTTGGCCGCGGGGCAAGGCTTTCTTAACCAGGAACGGATGGTTCTGCCAAACCAGGCCATTCCCTCCCATGCAGTAATTAATTGATACCATGACAAAGGGAGAGTGATAAAGCAGGGCTTTTTTTTTTTTTTTTAGGTTTTTGCCGTATGGTGCATGCATTTGCCAGAGAGACAGACAGACAAAGTGAGAAAGCATCCTCTTGAGGAGAATGGCCATGCTGCAATCCCTTCTCCTCCATTCTACTGAGATTCTGGGCACACACGCACCCAGTGTGTTTTTCAAGCTGTTTTTCACTTTCAAGGAGAGAAGGGGAAAAAAAGAGATCTTTCGTTATTTTCAGACCCGAATCCTGGTCCCCAGATGTCCTAAACCTGGGAGGACAAAGCAGCCACTGCTGCTGACGCCAGAGGGGGGCGGGGCAGGTGGGAAGCCAGAAACCACTGTCTCCTGATGGCCGGGAAAGCCTCTCTCAGGAGGGGCCAGCCAGCCAGCCAGCCCCCTGCAGGGTAAGCAGCAGCAATTCCAACAGCCTGCACGGGTCACGCAGACACGGTGCCCTCGACACACGTAGGAGCGGGACAGGGCGGTACTCACCCACTCCTCCAAAGGGAAAGCCGCTGAGCGTGAAGTGCATGATGACGTCATTGCACGTGACGCCGCCACTGGACGTCTCGGCAATCACCCGTCTGATGAGCTATGGGGCAGAACCAGGGCGTGCAGGTCAGTAACAGTGGCTCCTCCCTCCCCAGGGCACAGCCCGGCTTTGTGTGTCAGAGCGAGTTCTCAAGTTGGAGGGCAGCGTGCCAACCTCTGAAACAACCTGAACTGTGATTAACCGAGCAAACGCGACTGATCTCCATCTTCCCAGGGGCACCTGGTACTTCAAGGGGGCAGCTCTCAGCCTCTCTGCTCTAAGTGGTAGAACACAATTAGTATTACACAGTCTTTATGAAATGCAAAAAATACTTAAGATTTTAGGTTACACATCCTATTTTTTAAAATAATTTATTTATTTAATTCCACTTGTTATTATTTTTTTTAAAAAATTTGAACAGAGAGAGACAGAAAGGGTGAGGGCAAAAGCAAGGCACCAGGTCCAGGACTCAAACCACGGTCAGCCATGTGGGAATCCAGCGCCCTTAACCACCATGCCACCAGACACATTCTTTTTTTTAAGTTAATTTCTTCCATAAGAGACAGAGAGAGACATCTATAAGTGGACAGACAGCACCCAGCAAGGTACCAGCACTGCACCCCACCCCCAGCTTCCGCCAGCCCCAGGGCACAGGCACGCACAGGCGTGTACTCAGGGAGTTCTCTGGACACACACCTGGAACCTTCCCAGCTGGGCCGGCCTGGTAGAGGCCATGTTTTCTATCACTGGGCCACCATCCGGCCCCCGTGACAACCCTGTTTTTGAAGAAATAAGCGGGCAGTCGTCCTAAGACCCAAAAAGGAGTAAATGCCATTACACCTGGCTGCCAACCGGGGCTTGAGGGCTCTCAGAAAGAACGTCAAGTCCCAACCGGAGTGACCCCGGGTGCCCGCTGACCAGTGGACTGCAGGCTTAGAGTTCCTGCCCAGTTATCTCCGGTCATTTCAAACACGAGGCCGTCGTTTGGTTAAGGATGTAACTGTCACCAAGCCCCTCGTATTTGGTCTCACTTCGCCTCTGTAGCCACCTATATTTCAATGACACCACAAGCTGCAGAAGCTGTCAGGCAGTTACCGGTAGGCAGCCATCAGAAGTTCTCCGGAAAACACGTGATTTAGGAATGCCTGAGACCCTGAGTGGTCCCACCTCCTCCTTTCTTAAACCATTATTAATTTAAAAATTTTATTTATTTATTCATTCATTCATTTATTTTAATTTGACTAGAGAGAGAAAGTGAGAAAGCAAGCCATCAGGTCCAGGACTTGAACCATAGTCAACCATGTCAGAATCCAGTCCTTAATCACCACACCACCTGCTGGTTTCTCACCTCTCCCTTTCTAATTTTTCCATTTCTTCAAAGGATTCAGACCTGAGACCAGCAGTTAGAGTAATGGCTATGTCCCTGGACTCCCATTTAGTCAACTGCAGTTCGAGTCTTGGACCCGGTGGCTTAAACTCACGCCGGGCACGTGCACATGCGTGCCCAAGATGCCAAGAGGAGAAGGTAGGAGAGGGGATTGCAGTGTGACCATCCCCCCTGGGGGGTAATTTCTCGCTTTCCGTCTCTCTGTCTCTCTCTCTGTCTATCTGGCGAGCGCACGCGCCCTATAGCAAAAACCTTTCCAAAAAAAAACAAACAAAGGACTCAGACCTGATCAAGCACCTTAAGGCCACTGTCCCTTGCAGCAGCCAGTCACCCAGTGACACAAATGCGTGAGCCATACGGGAGATGGCAGCGTGCTCGATCCAGGGAAATGTACATAACGCTTTTTGAGAAACTGAAAGCCAGGATGCCACAGCCATTGACAAGACAGCGCCCATGGGAGTGGCTGTGAGGGTCGCTGCTATCCCAGGGGTAGGGCTGATGCCTACCCCAAAGGCCCTGCAGACTAATGCCAGAAAAGCACCAGTGGGTGGGACACGTGAGCCTGACAATTAAACAAGAGATGTTTGTGAGTCAGACGACCTGTGACACTCACCCCTGCAGACCTGGGTCTGACCCCAGGGAGCAGGGAAGGACGCAAGGATAACCCCAGGGCCTCATTACCCAAGACAACAACCTAAGACTACAACCTGGTGGACTCAGATACAAACAAACCATCCTGTGTTTGACAGCGAACAGGGAACACGGCTGCTGACAGCCACGCCCGGCAGCTGTCCCCCACTCTCACCTTATCGTTGCGAGAAAACACGTAGAGCGCCAGCGGCTTTTCGCGGTCGTTGATGAAGCGGATGGCTTCGTCCACGCTTTTCACAGGCACTATTGGAAGGATCGGTCCAAAAATTTCTTCCTGCATCACTTTGGTGTCAGGGTCAACATCCGTAAGTATTGTTGGGGCTGAAAAGAAGAGAAACAGAGTGAAAATGCTACAGAAGACAAAACGGCAAAAAAAAAGCAAACCTCTCACCTGACACTTGCCCTGACAAGTGGGTAAAGCTGACGTGCTCAGGGTGTGAGAGCAGGAAGAGGAAAGAACTGGAACCTTTCTTCAATGAGACCAAGTGCACGCACTAGCGTGTGAGAGGGAGGGAGGGGAGGACAGGGCAGGGGGAGACAGGAGAGGGAGAGAGGGTGTGTTTTAGGCTGACCCGGAATCTGAACCACGGCAGCAATATGGCTTCCAGCACTGCAGAGCGGCCACGGTGCGCTGGCGTCTAATAAGTCTTCTGATGGTGTCACTGAGCAACCCAACTGACCCACAGTTATCCAGAGGATCGTATGGTTGCTCATTATAAGAAAGTACATTTCTCATTATTTAAATCTTTTTGGTTTTTAAATGAAAAGTTGGGCATTTTGGTGACTTGTAGCACCCCATCTGGTAAAAAGGGACGAATGGGGGCCAGCAGGTGGCACAGCAGTTAAGGTGCTTGACTCCCACATGGCTGACTATAGTTCAAGTCCCAGACCTGACGGCTTGAAAATCACACCGGGTGCATGTGCATATGTGCCATTTCAAAATCCCAGGAGAAAAATGGAGGAGGAGGAGTGATTACAGTGTGGCCATCCCCTGGGGATCATTTCTCCTGCTCCCTCTCACTGTCTCGCTCTGGCGAGTACACATGCCCTAGGGCAAAAACCAAAAAAAAAAAAGAGGGTGATAAGTAAAGCTATCGGGGCAGCCTGTCAGCCAAAGTTATCTGTACTTCCGTTACCTTAGGTTACTTCAGAAAAACGTGTTTAGAATCCAAAGTGATACATATTCATGGAAAAAATAAAACAAAGACAACAAAAAATAAGGTCAAGCACACAGATTAAAACTGACTGCTGGGGGCCGGCAGGTGGTGTGGTGGTTAAGGGCACTGGACTCCCACGTGGCTGACCGTGGTTTGAGTCCTAGACCTGGCGACTTGCTTTCTCGCTTTCTCTCTGTGTCTCTGGAAATATTAAAAAAAAAAAAAATAAAGCTAAATAAAATAATTCTTAAAGCTAAAAAACAAACAACAAAAACATGATGTCTGAAATGTGACTGTCCCCGGTTAGTTGTGGAACTGTGGCAAAACCACGTCCTTGCTGGGGCTGCCTTCCTCTCCATAGACTGGCGTTAATAACGTAATGTCCTGGTCTGCTTCTCAGGGTTGTTGGGAAGACAGACGACGAGACAGTCTACGTGTGAGCACAGGTGGTCACGCAGCACAGGTGGCCGTGCTGAACACGTACACACATACATTCTTTTATCCCAAAGGCAGTATACCAGGAAGCTCTGCCTAACGGTACATATTTAATAGTTTATTTACTGTCAGTAAGTAGTGTCAGCAGAACCTGTGAGAGTGGGGTCAGCAGGTGGGACGGTGGGTAAGGAGCTGGGCTCCCACCTGGCCAACTGTGTTCGAAAATCATGCCAGGCACGTGTGCGTGTGCCCAAAATCCCCAGAGGAGATTGGAGGAGAAGGGCCTGCGGTGTAGCCATCCCCCGGGGGGTGATTTCTCACTTTCCCTCTCGCTGTCTTGCTATGGTGAGTGCACGTGCCCTGTGGCAAAAACCTAAAAGACAGACAGGCCAACCAACGAAGACCTGCAAGTGCCACCTTCCCAAAGGAGGAAGTGAATGCCCGTTACCTATGTAGCGGGAGGCCTCGTCGGTCTCCCCACCAAAAGCTATCTTTTGTCCTTCAAGCAAACTTAGTATCCTCTTAAAATGCCGCATATTGATGATCCGTTCATAATCAGGAGACTCCTTTATGTTTTCTCCATAAAATTCCTATTTAAAACAATAGGAGTATTAATTGTCACAAAGACCCGTATTTCAATGTCTTTAAGTACAAAATCCACCCATGCCCTAGTCAGTCTGCTTTGATATCCACAGGACCAACACCCCACCCACAAGTAATTTTTTGGCAGATGAAGGGCCAGAAAAGGACACACCCACAAACCAAAACCTATCACCTTCCACAGTTCCAGGGTTGCTAAGCGTTCCTGCAGTCTGCCCATGGGCCCTCCTGGGGGCGGTGAGAAATCTTGCTCACATCAGGGTGGCCCATTTGTTCACACATGGTTTGTGGGTGTTCTCCCCAAAAACAGTAAGCTGGGTAGCTGCAGCAAAGACCCGTGGTCTGCAAAGCCTAAAGTATGCTCTCCGCAGCCCTTCACAGAAAAAGTGCGCCAAACCTGGCTGTATTTGTTGTTTCCTGTCCTTTCTGGTCTGGTCTTGCCACCAGTCAGAGATGACAGTGAAACCACGCTAAGGTCACAGCACAGCTTTAGTAAATTACCAAAGTAAAAGAACCTCAATAACGAGACAATCAATACTTATCATGCAAAACAATTACTGCGGTTACCATTACAATTACTGTAAATCACTTCAAAGCCTAGTGAGGGCTTTCAACTCAATCTCAAATCAAAATGAACACTGTTCAGCGACTTCCACAAGGGTGATTCTCGGGGGAACCAGCAGTTAGCATAATGGCTATGTCGCTGGACTCCCATGTAGTCGACACGGTTTGCGTCCCGGACCCGGTGGCTTAAAACCCACGCCGGGCACATGTGCGTGCGTGCCCAAGATCCCGAGAGGAGAATGGAGAAGGGATTGCAGCATGGCCATTCCCTCTGGGGGGTGATTTCTCGCTTTCTGTCTCTGTCTGGCGAGCGCACTCTCAAAAAAGAGTGATTCTCAAGTCTGGGCTGTAGGAACATCCAGATCGCTTGTTGAAATGTATGTTCTTGGGACCAGGGGTGAGCGTAATGGCTATGTCACCGAACTCCCATGTAGTCAGTCAACCAAAGTTTGAGTCCCGGACTGGGAGGCTTAAACTCACACTGGACACGTGTGTGTGCGTGCCCAAGATCCCAAGAGGAGAATGGAGAAGGGATTGCGGCATGGCCATCCCCCTGGGGGTTGACTTCTTGCTTTCTGTCTGTCTGTCTTCCCAGTGAGCGTATGTGCCTTTATAGCAAAAACCTCTCGAAAAAAAGCAATCTATGTTCTTAAGGCCTCACTGGAGCCACCAACAGTGGTTTTTCCATGCACAGAATTACCTGGGGGGAGTCCCAGACCTACTGAATCAGAATCTCTGGCAGTAAGGATTGGAAACTAGTATTTTTTTAAGAGATTTTTGCTATAGGGCACATGCCAGACAGAGAGAGAAACGATGAATCACCCCCTAGTGGGGATGGCTATGCTGCAAACCCTTCTCCATTTTCCTCCCGGGATCTTGGACATGCACGCACAAGCATCCAGTGTGATTTTGAAGTCACTAGGTCTGGGACTCCAACTACAGTTGGCCATGTGGGAGTCTAGCAATATAACTGCTTCGCCGTCTGCTGGTCCCGGAAACTAATTTTTAAATGGCTCCCTACTGATTCTAACACGTAGCCTGGTTGAGAACCACTGTTTGAGTATACACGCCTCCAAGCACAGCAGAGGAACCTTATTCTTCTTTCTTACTCCTTTAGTTTTGCTAAAGAGTGAGTGTGCTCCCCAGACAGAGAGAGAAAGTGAGAAATCACCCCCCATTAGAGATGGCCACACCGCAGTCCCTTCTCCTCCCTTCTCCTCTTGGGATTTTGGGCAAACACTTGCCCAGTGGTTTTTTCAAGTTACCGTGTCCAGGACTCAAACAGTGCAGTCAGCCACGTGGGATCCAGCCGCCTTAAGCACTTCCTCCTTATTCCTTTGAAACTGAATTCCTCACCTCACCTTACTCCAGGAAGCACCTCTCCAATTTCCAAGTATTTTCAATCTCACAGTATCTTCAACCACTTTCTCTCGCCCTTCCTTCCCTGAACCTGCCGACGCTCCCCTCACGCTCTGTCCCTGTGTACCTTCAGGCCCGTCACTGATGTCTGCTTCCCACACCTAGCCCCTAGCACCTCACCCCGTTAACTCTGCCTGAGACGTTGCCAACTCTCTCCTTCAGCACCCTCACATGTAATTTTCATTCTCTGGTCATATGGTTCTGATCCTTCTGCTCCGTCAACATCTGTTTGGTGAATCTTCATCAACTGCTGAGCTCCATCACACTATCTTTCCATCCCTTTCTTTTCTTTTTTTGAGAGGTTTTTGCTATAGGGCACTTGCGCTCGCCAGACAGAGACAGACAGAGAGACAGAAAGCAAGAAATCACCCCCCGGGGGATGGCCACACCGCAATCCCTTCTCCTCCATTCTCCTCTTGGGATCTTGGGCACACACGCACATGCGCCCGGTGTGAATTTAAGCCATCGGGTGCGGGACTCGAACCACGGTTGGCTACATGGGAGTTCAGTGACATAGCTATTACGCTAACTGCTGGTCCCTGTCTTTCGATCCCTTTGTACTGATCTAAATCCTTCAGGTGCTGACTTAGGGCACAACCATGTGGTCTTCTCTGGTTTCCTCACTGCAGATCTTCCAACACGCTGAAAGAGTGATCACCGCATAAAGGGTTCAGTATTACAGGTATTTAATTAACTCACTCTTCCAGACTACTGGCTGTTGCAAGCCCTTTCTTTACACACAAGAACTGGTACCCTGAACCTGCAACACTAATTATGCCAAAAGGTCTCCGATTATACTTCACGGGAGTGGCAACACACGGCTTAACGTTTTTTCTTAAAGTCTATGCCGCAATCAATCGAGAAATGACCTAGACGGTCTGAGGGGATTGAACACTGACCTAGCTCTGCTCCCAGCAGACATTCTATGAAAGGTACACAGTGCATTTTCAATTAGCCAATAAGTTAATTCAGTCATGTACGCTAAAGACGTTTTCCTGCGGTCGAGGGAGTGGGGATGTTGCCTGCAAATAGTTCACTGGATCCCTTATTTTTCTGAAATCAGTGGAATCAGATGTGTTGACACAAACCTTCACGGTGTCCTTAATCTTCTGCACGATTTGACTCTGGAGGGATGCTTCGCAGAGAATGTAGTCAGGAGCAATGCAAGTTTGACCACAATTCATGTACTTTCCCCAGGTTATGCGCCTGAGAGACAAACAGAATAGCTATACAATTCAGTCAAATACACGTTTGTGGGACCAGCAGATGGCGTAATGGTTACGTCGCTGGACTCCCACATAGTTGACCTTGGTTCAAGTCCCTGACCCGGCAGCTTAAAACTCACACCGGGTGCATGTGTGTGTGTACATGCCCGAGAGAATGAAGGAGAAGGGACTGCAGCTGGATCCCACTGGGGGGTGATTTCTTGCTTTCTCTCTCTCTGGTGAGTGTACATGCTCTATAGCAAAAAATCTCTCAAAAAAAAATTCATTTGTAATTTACATTTCTGTTTTTAGAATGTTTTGCAACTTGAATAAATTCCTATACCTGGCAATCTTTATAAAAAAAAGTCTTAAAAACTCACCTTTAAATGAGTTAAAAGTTAGAATACATTTCCAACTGAGGTAGAATATTCCAAAGAACCAAAAAATTCTCACGCTAACGTATGGGAAATGGTACTAATAAGCAGTAAAGCCATTGCCTGCTACAGAACGAGAGGAAAAAGAGCTTCCTGATATCCTTCCCCTCTCCAGCTTCAGCTGACAGCATGTCCTGGAGGGCAGGTGTCTGGTTCTGACTCAGCCTCTCCCAGCTGTTGCTCCAGGCCCTGCTGGCCAGATGTTCTGGTAAAGGGCAGGTTGGCAGCCAGTCGGAAATCTCCTCTTATGTACGGACAGAGGCCAACGACCCGAACATTCAAGAACGAAGAGGCTCTTGTTCTGCCGACCCGAACACTCAAGAACGAAGAGGCTCTTCTTGTGTCAGTTACTTACAGAGCCAACCTAGAACCCCGGCCGACTGCCTGCCTCCTCCTCTGCTCCTCACCTCTGAAGGGGGGAGAGACACTCCCCAGCGCACAGACCCGGCTCTCTGAGCTCGTACTTCCCGGTCGCTAAGTCTGATTTAGCAGAGATGACCTGAAACCTTTTATTTTCTAATTCCCAGATGCAAAGTGATATTCAGAGTGAAAGGACGAGTAATACTAGTTTTGTCATCGAAGGCTCTCAGGTAAGAGATCCTCACGACACCCTTTCATCTCGGAATTTAAAGGTTTTATTAGACACCCACAGTCCTTTGGATTGCCTACGTCCCAATTCACTGGCCAGCACAATTCAATTTCTTGCCAGATCTATAATCTTGATAACAGACTTTTTCTCAAAACTCCTAAGAACCACCACGTGACATCAGGCCCTGGATCCCGCAGCTCCTCACGGTGTGCCAAGACAGTCTGTGAAAGACTGAACCACCAAAGCTTAATGATCTGTCCTGGGGTCACAGGGCAAGGGGTTCGGGTGTAGAGGGTGCCACCACCTATTACAAAAAATCATGCCCGGCACCGGGAAAACCAGAGAAAACCAGCCAGCCTGTCTCACCTGCAAACGGTGTCCAGGTCACAGTCTCTGTCAATGTAACACGGGCTTTTCCCTCCCAGTTCGAGAGTCACAGGGGTCAGATGCTTGGCGGCAGCAGCCATGACAATTTTTCCAACCACGCTGTTTCCCGTATAGAGAATGTGGTCAAATCGCTGCTTCAGAAGCTCCGTGGTCTCTTCCACACCGCCGTTAATAACAGCATACAGGTCCTCAAAGAGAAACAAACCCTTGCATTGCCCGATCAATTCTACTGTCCCACATCAGCAAGTTCTTCAACATACGCCGGTAACGTTCCGGAAAAGCAGAAGAGAGAGACCAGTCCCTGCGAGGGATGGAGGGGGAGTGGACCGAGGGTGAGTAGAGATCACAGAACCTGCTGGCATCTGGGAACCATCACCCCACGGGACACGGACCTGGAGAGTCTAATGGTTTCCACGTGAGCTCAGCAATGAAGGCACAGAAGAGGGCAAAGGGCTGGATGTGTCCAGAGAAATGCACAGGAAGGGGCTATGGAAGCATGTTGGCGTCAAAGTGGCTGCTGCCAGGAGTCACAGGACAGGTCCCCGCTGTAGGTCTTACTGTTAGTGTCCTCTCCTTACACAACAGAGCAGCGCTGAGTCCGCGGCAGAACCCAGCCGGTGTCTGCCGAGTGAACGGCATACACAGCACAGCAGCGATGCTCACTCTGAAGTCTATCTGGGTCGAACCCGTGCTCTGCCAACAACTAGGTATGCGACCTTACACGAGCTACCTCTGAATGTCAGTCTCTGGGTCTGGCACTGGGAGAATCCATTTAGCTTCTGTGGACTAAGTCTTTTAGAATTATTTTACTTATTATTTTTAAAATTTGCTATAGGGCACATGCACTCGCCAGAAAGACAGAGAGAGAGAAAGTGACAAAGCAAGCTGCCAGGTCCAGGACTCGAACTACAGTCGTCCATGTGAGTCCAGTGGCTTAACCACCATGCCACCTGCTGGCCCCAGACTAAGCCTTCATGGGTACCATGCTATCATTAGCAGCTATCGTTAAAGAGAGAACACTCGGCACATAACAGCATGAAAAGTAATGGCAGCCCACAGGCGGTAAAGGGGGCAGAGGGGGGTGCTGGAAGAACCTGACGGGGAGTATGAAGGAAAAGCTGGCTGTGGACCTGCGTTTGGCCTGAGCCCCTGCTCATGGAAAAGGCTCCTTAGTTCTCAGTCATTTCACGAAATATGTTTGTTTAACTTTAGTTTAACTGCCCACCACATTTCAAGGTGTTTTTGAGAGGAATGTATGCGTTTGCCAGAGACACAGAGACAGAGGGACACAGAAAGCGAGAAACGTTCCCAGGGCTTAACCTACAGAGCATCCATATCCATCTCCCACAGCTG